AACTCGCAGTCAGAGCTTCTAACTGAGGTATAGTTCGGTCGAGTAGAGCAGGTGTCGCATCAATGTAACGAAGCGGTTGATGCTCATTAACTTATTTACTTATCTTTTGTTTAATTTTTGTTTAATAAGCGAAGCCAGAGGGGAGCCCATGAACCGTTTGCAGTCAGTATTCGATTAAATTATTAGTAGTGCCAGCTGTTCTAAACTTACTTGATTTACCTTAGAAGGGTTAACAACTCATGTTTTAGGCTCGAGAGGAAGCCTACAAATTCATTATTGCCATATCGGGATCGATTTCTGTGCTATCACTTCTTACAATATGTCTCGTTGTTCCCTCTATGTACAACTTAGTGGACAACATCGGACAATTTGGCCGGTTGGACTTCGCCTACTGCGAGGTGTGTCGTCTCGAAATCTTGTCTTCCAATTTTAGTTCCGTAGGATTCCACTTCAGAGTGCCATGTCAGACATGGAGCAAGAGATGGTCTCCGTTCGGGAATCTTTCCGGGAAACTGCTTTGAATCGATCCTCTCGTGCAGCTAATTACGGGAACTATAATCCATCTATGCTTGTTAATGATGCTCCCCAATTTCAAGAATGTCCAGGTAAGATCTTAACTCACTACGTTGCTGAGAAATTCTGAACGAAAGCCTTTACAGCTTGCTGCGTTCCTGGCGAACGAGGTCCTACGGGAGATCCCGGACTTCCTGCGCTTCCCGGCGCTCCAGGTCCCGACGGAGCTCCTGGACGGCCTGGCTCAACTCCAAATGCATCCTGCATCCCCGAACGAGTGTTCGAGCCACCACCATGTCTGCCGTGTCCACAAGGCCCAAGAGGACTTCCTGGACATCCTGGATTCCCTGGAGATTCTGGAGATCCTGGAATTCCCGGACGACCCGGTGCTGATGGATTACCAGGAAAACAAGGAGAACCAGGACCCGCTGGACCTCCAGGAGTACCTGGAAAAGCTGGACCACCCGGGGATAAGGTAAATTGTTGATTTGATAACTTGTTCTCTTTTACAAAGTGAAGCTTCATCTCCCTTTTGACCTTCTAGCTGGTAATCAACGATGATTTTGTAGAATACGAGCTTTGTTGAATCAACATTATCGACTTTTTAGGGAAGGACACCTGAAGCTCACGTCATCCCAGGACCCCCAGGAGATCCAGGACCACCAGGCCCATGGGGA